ACGTTGCAGTAAAACCTACACGAGGATGAACATTAGGAATTTTGAATAAATAGCAAATGCATATCCTTATATCACTTGCAGAAGTGTATCAATAACAAAAAATGGAGCTAAGTTTATGCGTGATGGCATAACTAATATGATAAATCACCATAATATGGGCACATGAATCCTTATGTCGTAATTTCATCAGTTGGTACAGTACTAGCCTAGTACCTACCTATCAGTTCGGATTATCAACAAACGTCACGTCTCGTCACACAAACGAAAAACCGGACCTACTCACTTCAAGCGACACCCTTAATATCGTGTTTTTTCTTCTCGTCTATTCTTCTGTCAATTACTATTCAACAAAAATGTAGGAAAAATCGATTCACATGATACCAGTTGAAAGTTGACAGTTATCAGTCAGGTCGAAATTTAAAATTCATTCGAACGATTTTGTTCCATATTATTTTATTAAACCGGACAAAGTGTGCCGTGTAAATTGAAGAGCAGTTCTCATAGAATTTTGTCTGATCTTTCTGAATCTGATGGAATTTTTCGAGAAAAGTGGTCACAAAGTGAACTTTTTTGACATAACAATAAAACATAAAATTTTCCCAAGTCCGGACCTGTATATTTTTTTTCATAATATGTCATCTTGAATAGTTTCAGTAGTGATACGTCGCTGCCAAATTTCAGCAGATTACGACGAATTATTTCTGTAATATCGACCATCAAAGTTATATAGCAATTTCAAATAATACCCTGTATCTTCGTTATGGAGGGTCAAAAAATGTTATCATATATATACATCAACTCGTCTTGATTTCCCCTATCAACCATTCGGCTATGTGAGTCTGCTCATGAAACACCCTGTATATCGATAAGCCTAACTGATGTCATGAACCAATTTGACATCTCATCTATCTATGAAAAATATGAAAGAAAAAGTGGCGACATACGACCGTAACTACGCCACTGGTTAATAAAATTCAATACTGAAAACTCCAAGTGATTACGTTAATTATTCTGGAATAGTATATCAAGTTTGAATTTTTTTCGTATTTTTGACACCCTGTATCTCAGAGAGGATGCATTATAGAACATCGATGGGAAATTTTGACCTCAAAATGAGGTTAGGAATCCGTATACGATGTTTGTCGGTCTTATTCTGACTCACCCTCTATAATTTGAAAAGGAGACAATTAGGACTTTACTGTGCTAATAAGATACAGGGTGTTCCATTTGAAAAATCATAAGTTTGAATCTTATCTGCAAAACCATAACCCGAAAAAAAATTTGAGTACGCCACTGGATCCTGCCTAAAATTTTCTATGGGATAAGATTTTCGCTGAGGGGGTTAAAGAAGTATACATTTTCAATATCGCCATGTATCTCATAAACGGAAACAGTTATGCAAATTCTGATTAGGCCATCTTGAGTTTCACAAAAAAGTGGCACAGGATCGCAAGGTTGTATCTCCAAAAATAACCGAGATATCACGCAAAAGCATCGAAAACGGGACACACTGTACATACATCAACTAGATGTGATGTGTTGCCGATTCGAAAGCGACTATTAATAAATTTGTTGTTATTTATGAGTTTTATGAGTCGTTTATCGGTCTGGGAAATGGTAGGGTTGACATAATGAAATGAATATGGAGCACGGAATAAAAAAATCTGAAAAATGTTCGAAGAAATAATTGTAGTCATCGATGATAGCGAATAGAGAGAAGAAAACGATACTTTATTATCCACGGCCATTTCAGAGAAGGTTCCAATTCGAATTAATCTGAATCGAGATATCAGGTCCGTGAATGGAAAAATGAAGTTGATGATGGTTACTCAGGGACGAAATGTTAGATCAGAAAATCGATGATACCAAATTAATTAAACACCACTACTTTCGTACTTATATATAAAGCTTACTGAATAATAGTTGATTGTTTTATTAGGATCAAAAGTGACACTTTGTTTGACAAGCGAATTTTGCACTTGCGAGGCGGAGCGTTTAGCGAAGCCGAGCGAAAGCAAAATTTGCGAGTCGAACAAAGTCACTTTTGATCCGAATGAAACATGCTATTTTTTCTGCAACCGAAGCAATTAACTCAAATAAACATGTGAAGTAACCACCAATGCCGTGCCATATGTATGTATGCAATGCAACAAATATTGACAAATAATCCGTGTGGTGAGAATATTCTACCTGCATTAACAGCAGGTTAGGTTCTCAAGGATGTTCGAATTGTAGTTTTTCAATATAAATACAACCACAGAGTGACATATTTGTGTATGGACCAGGTGCTCTGATGGCAAATACTGCGCCACTGCCAGCTATATGAACAAGACGTGCAAAAAGTTAGGTTAGTGAGCATATATCAACAATGATAATAGTGATTATTGATTCCTCTCCATACTACACTGTGTTTGACTCGATAATCAAATGAAGCTAAACAATATCGTTGTTTGAGACAAAAAAACTATTGCTTGCCGTGATTATTCAAAAACAAGTTATCCATCCCGAGAATAACGAATGAAATACAGATCGAGCAAGTATTTGAATCTTGAAGGCTTCCCTGATCGAAACAAAAATACTTAACTGAGATGTTTATGATTCCAATACTAAACTATAATAAGGTGTATTTATATCTCCAGCATGGGTATGAAATGCCAAATCTGCTGAAATCGGAAACAAATCAGTTATGCATCTCAACCCAAATAACCAACCGTCACAATGATGTTTATTCTTGATGACGTCCAGTACATCCTTTTTAGTTCCTAGGAGCTAAAGTTCAACTTCAGCTCCTAGGAACTAAAATTCAACTTTAGCTCCTAGGAACTAAATATGTTGCCTAGCAACATACCTATTTTTGTGACAGTAATAGAAACGTCAATTTAAGAGCTAATTTTGGTATCAAAATGGACGACTTTTGTGTCGGTTGCAGAAAAACAAGATTGTTACGGTTGGTTATTTGGGTTGGGACGCATACCTGATTTGTTTCCGATTTCGGCAGATTTGGCATTTCATACCCATGCTGGAGATATAAATACACCTTATCATAGACAATTTTCCCTTGTGATAATTTGATATTGTTAAATATTTATTGACCTATGTACATTTATTTATTTTTCATCCTTACTACAAGGTTAACTTCGTAAGGTTTTTCCCAGTTTATTCAAATTACCTATATGTTTATTCCAATGTATATTTTGTAAACGTTTTTGAATGAACTTATATTATTATTATTATTATTATTATTATTATTATTATTATTATTATAGTGAAGTATAGGAATTATAAACATCTCAGTTGAGTATTTTTGTTTTGATCACCATGGCAAGCAATGGTTTTTTAAAAGGAGGAAGAAAACCTCAAAGTCATCTCCACAACTTTAATATTGATGCAGTTATTCAACGAAACATGTCTCGAAGTCCATCTTCAGCCGTATTTTAGAAATTACTACAAGTAAAGGCATGTGAAAATATACGAAATGTTATAACCAAATAGTTTTTTGTCTCAAACAACGATATTGTTAACCTTAATTTGATTATCAAGTCAAACACAGTGTAGTATAGTGAGGAATAAATAATCGCTATTATTATTTTTGATATGCTCAATAACCTCACATTTTCCACGTCCTGTTCCTATACCTGGCACTGGCGCGGTATTTGCCATCAGAGCAACTAGTCCATACACAAATTTATGTTGAAATTACAATCCGAACATCCTTGAAAATTGAATAAACCTGATGTTAATGCAGGTAGAATATTCTCACCACACGGATTTTGCATTGATTTTGATTTGTTGCATTGCATACATATGGCACGGCATTGGTGGTTACTTCACATATTTATTTGAGTCAATTGTTTCGGTTGCAGAAAAAATAGCATGTTTCATTCGGATCAAAAGTGAATATTGTAAATTTTGCATTCGCTCGGCTTCGCTAAACGTTCCGCCTCGCAAATGCAAAATTCGCTTGTCAAACAAAGTGTCACATTTGATCCTAATACAACAATCTACTATTATTATCGTTATTTGTAATCAACTTCCTCATACCAGAATTTTATTTCTGACCGGAAGCTAGTTTCTCAATTAACAATAAGAAACAATAAACAATGGTCCCAACTAGGGGTGAGAAAAATTATCGATATATCGATAATTATCTGGAGAAAAATTATCGATTTTTCGATATTATCGATATTATCGATATTATCGATATTATCGATATTATCGATATTATCGATATCATCGATATCATCAATATTATCGATATTATCGAAATTATCAATATTATCGATGATATCGAAATTATCGATATAACCGATAATATCAAAATTATCAAAATAAATGAGCATCAGAAAAATAGGTATTTATGTATTTTATATGGAACACCCTGTATAAAACAGATACCTGTTGGTAAGAATTGAGGTAAGAATGAAAATATATGACACGCCACCCTGTACATTAGCCTTGTTCAAACTTCATAGGACTCCAGCACAGCAACTTGCCTGAAGCTATCTGACATCTGGCAACGTCTCTACCCTTATTAGTTGTGGTGGCAAACTTCTACATTTCAAATGGAACACTATTATTCTAATATATTTAGAATATCAATTAAATCAATAATTCCCAAGATAATCGATAATTATATCGGTAATATCGATTATTTCGATATTATCGATAATATCGATTATTATCGATAACTATTGGGAATATCGTGAATATCGATAACATCGATAATATCGATAATATCGATAATATCGCTAATATCGCTAATATCGATAATATCGATAAGATCGATAATATCGATAATATCGATAATATCGATAATATCGATAATATCGATAATATCGATAATATCGATAATATCGATAATATCGATAATATCGATAATATCGATAAATCGATAATATCGATAAATCGATAATATCGATACATTATGAATATCGATAATCGATATTTCAAAATCATTATCGCCCACCCCTAGTCCCAACAAAGCCACGCTACACGCTCACCTGGTTCTGAAACCGCTCTCCTTTCTCCACCGCCTCCCCCAATCGCCCCCGCTGCCGCCGCCATGCCTTCAGCATCAGCCGTTCGTACGTCCTGCATAAGGCGTCGGGACGCCGGCAAGGTCGTGGCGACGCTCGCGTGGACGCCGAGGGAGCGTCGTCGAAGGGCCGCGGCGTCGCGTGCAGCGTAGCGACGCTGTGATCGGCGCCCGGCGTCGGCGGTTTGATGGCCGGCCTGCGATAATGAATCGAGTATGAAATTGTTCGGTTCATCGAATCACTTGTAATACCACTAGAAAACGTCGATCTAATCTCGAATTAGTCACATTAATTTCAAAAAACGTCAATTGTATTTCATAATAGTCACTTGTATTTCATAAAGCATCAACTATATTTCATAATAGTCACTTGTATTGCAGAAAGCATCAATTGAATTTCATAATAGTGACTTGTATTGCAGAAAAGCATAAATTATTGAATTTCAGAATAGTCACTTGTATTTCAAAAAGCATCAACTGTATTTTATATAAGTCATTTTGTAATCCAGAAAACGCACATTGAATTTCACATTAGTCACTTGTATTGCAGAAAGCACCGATTGTATTTCAGAATAGTCACTTGTTTTGCATAAAACATTAACTGTATTTCATAATAAATAGTCACTTGTATTACAGAAAGCATCAATTGAATTCCATAATAGTCACTTGTATTGCAGGAAGCATCAATTATTGAATTTCAGAATAGTCACTTGTATTGCAGGAAGTATCAATAATAATTATTGAATTTCAGAATAGTCACTTGTATTGCAGAAAACATCAATTGCATTTAATAATAGTCACTTGTATTGTAGAAAGCGCCAATTGTATTTCAGAATAGTCACTTGTTTTGCATAAAACATTAACTGTATTTCATAATAAATAGTCACTTGTATTGCAGAAAGCATCAATTGAATTCCATAATAGTCACTTGTATTGCAGGAAGCATCAATAATAATTATTGAATTTCAGAATAGTCACTTGTATTGCAGAAAACATCAATTGCATTTAATAATAGTCACTTGTATTGTAGAAAGCGCCAAATGTATTTCAGAATAGTCACTTGTATTTCAGAAAGCATCAATTGTATTTCAGAATAGTCAACTGAATTTCAGAAGAGTCAATTGTATTTCAACATCAGCTGCTCGTACGTCCTGCAGGAGCTTGTATGGACGCCGTCGCCAAGGGAGCGTTGTGAAAGGGCTGGGGCGTTGTGAGATATATGAAATTGTCCGGTTCATCGTATCATCAGAATCTTTTGACTAGACGAAAATTACTCAAACTGTGTGAGTGAATTATTGCAGAAAAATTGTAGAAAATCTTGATTATGCACTCTTGAAATTATCATCAAATCTATGGTCTCTCTTAATGGTTGGCGTATGTTGAATTTGTTTTCTTTTTCAAAAAATTCATCATATATTCATGAATGCGCTGATTAAACGTACGACTTGTCTGACCGATATATACTCTCGGAAAACATCCACAGTTGAATTTGTATACCTCTGATTCTCTGATCAGTTTTGTCTTTATAATTTTTGATAAACCTTCCCAACGTGTTATTTGTTCGAAATGCTACTTTTAAGTCCTGTTTATGTGGAACTGAAGCTAATTTTCCAGTTGTTGATCCGAAATAGGTTAAAGTTCTATAATTATGATTATTATTCTTGATGGTATTAGGATAAACTTTTTGAATAGCTTCATTATGGAGTTTTTTAGAAAGAAAACAGTCTATAAAATTAACGTTGTATCCATTGTTGACTGCAATCTGTTTTATGATATTGAGTTCTTTATTGAAATTACATACGTATGAATTATCGAGATTTTTACACATCCTTGATCAAGTATCGATTTTTTACCACAGCAATGAAACTCTCGTGAAAGTAATCAATGAACATTTTTTTTATCGATGAAAAATCGACCTCTTCGCCCTCGAAAATTTCAAATAATATTTGAACAAATCAAAACTGTGCGATAATTATGCGCAATTATAGATGAACCTTATTTCTTGGGTATTTATTTATCACGATTATTCAGAAATGACTATTCTTTGAACTCATGAATGTAATGTATTGTATTATTGCACTAATAACAATTTTTTTTCACGGTTTCCGAGATATCAATTGTGGAGTTGTTCCACCCTGTAGGGTATACAGAGTATCCCAATTGAATTTCTCATCACATTTACTTAGTTCATTAGTCATATTACTTGCCATTCTGTAATAAAGTGAACTAAACTCGAAATTAAAGTTGCACTGAACATTTCAGAATGAAAGAAAACGTTCGAAATAATGTTTTTCTACGGCTATAACCGAACTCAAAATTGCTTTTGTTTTACTTTGTTCGATACATCAATGAGGTACTTTGTATGTCATCAATTTTATTTCCAAAGACACGTTCATCCAACGAACAGCGAGGCTCTGGAACACATTGCCAAGGGAGGTGTTCCCCGAGGCATATAACCTTCAGAAATGCAAGAAGAACACCAATTCCTACCTCATTTCCCTTGGTTCACACGATGTTCTCTGAACATTACAGGATATCCCTTTTCGTGGGAACCAGAACATAACACGGGACCTCGGGATATAATCTTGGTCCCTGGGTAGTGGGTAATAATGATATTCTTTACTACCTTGTCGTATAAATAACTATTCTCTTAACATTTCGATTCTATATCACTATGGAATTTTGTCCTGGTTATATAAATTACTTTTCATTAGTGATTAGTGAAAGACGAGAGAACGTGCACCGTCAGTCACTACGTGCGAAAAAATGAAATGTATGTATATGGGGCATTAGTGACGTCAATGGTTCGCAATCTGAACAGGTTTTTTAGAATCATCTACATGGACCCAATAACTACTGGATTTAACGATGTGTGTGTATTACCTGGAGGCATTGATTCGTGCGTCAGCAATATTCTATATTTTCGATGTTGTAATTTGTAATGGCTATGTAATAGCATTTTAGATACGAAATATGATTGAGCAGTTATTTACTGCTTATGGAATGGAAGTACCCAAACAAAATAACTGGTCTTCATATCAGTACGAAGTCCGATTTTTAATCTAGGTCTACTGAAGAGACAACATTCATAACTACAGTAATATGAAAAATTCGCAAGTCATACTGCCTAATGTTTAGTAATCTAAAAATTTGCAACCTATAACTGATATACAGGGTGTTGCAGATTTTGAGTCGTCAAATGTGATAGGCAATAGTGATCGCGAATATAATAATGATTATTTACTTCGCCATTGAATTGTGTAACCTAACCTGATAGACCTCTAAGAAATAAAGACATATTTTTTTATTTGAAAGTCAACTGTTTCATCACTAGTCAAACCGATTATTTTACGCCTCGACACGAGTTTCGCTAACTTATGTTAGCATCTTCAGGAGAATATTAAAACTTAATGTTCTATCCTAGGGTGCTGGGGTTTAGAGTTTTTTTTCTCTCAGAAATGATCAGTTTTTTTTTACTATCTTTTTAAATGTACCAATATTTCTGCAGTTTTTAATTTCATCTGGTAGTTTACTGAACGCAGATAAGGCTGCATGAGTGAATCTTTTTTGTCCGAGTGTAGAACAAGCAACATCAAGGTGAAATAAGTTATATTTTCTAGTGTGATGACTATGAATTTCAAAATTTCTTGTCAAAATGATATTAGATTTGAATTTTTTATTTATGATATTGTATGAAATTTTCAGAGTCTCTGATCTGTACAGTTCTTCTAAAGAATATGTTCTTGTTAAAGCATACAGTTCAGTTGTTGATGTATCATATGGAAGACAATACAGTATACTTTCAATGATTTCCGATATAATGTTGATATTTTCTTAAAAATATTTTTTAGAACAAGATCCCCATACATTTATCAAATAGTTGATTCGACTTAGTATATGTGAATGGAGTACTATATTTGCAATAATCATATTGAGTTTAGGACATCTTCTCAATGCACCAATAATAATAGATATTTTCTTTGTCAGAACCTCAATATGTTTATCCTAATTCAATTTTTCATCAAACCAAATTCCAAAATACTGTATCTATTCAGTTTGTTCCAAGAATTCATTCTTGATTTGAGGATTTAGCTGAATTTTCTGTTTATTTTTTTGTTGAAAGAACATGTATTCAGTTTTTCTGGTATTTATTAAAAAAAGGTTAGAGTGGAGCCATTTTTCGAATAATTTCAGATCGTTATTTATCACAGTTTCTAAAATCATTGGATTTTTGTTTTCATATAAAAGCATTACTCGCTAAACCAACTTTCGTGATATTTTGAATATAAAGCAGATACAGTATTGGTCCTAAAACAGATCCCTGTGGAACACCCTTATTCATTGACACATTATGAGACTCATAATTAGCAGATTCAGTACTGATTATCCAATTTTCATAATTTGAAGCTAAAATAATTCTCACAATGCCTCTGAGTTCCATGAATTCCAAGTTATCCAGAAGTATTGTGTGCATGGTCCACTGTTTCATAAGCCTTTTTTAGATCAATGAAAACAGCTACTATGTAATTTACATCATCAATTTTTTTTGAATTACTTCTATTACTTCTATTACTGCCGCTTGAGTGCCACTATTTTCTTGAAAACCAAACTGATTCATATCGAAGCTATATTTTATGTTGATGAAATTCACAATTCGTTTCTTTAGAATTGTCTCAATAATTTTGGTAAATATGCTCAGTAAGGCTATTGGTTTATAATTTGTTGGATCTTGGATATCTCCCTTTTTATTTATAGCTCTTATTGAAGCATGTTTCAACTCAAGTGGAAAAATTCCTCTCATAAAACACTCATCAGTCAATTTAGATAAAGGTTCAGCTAAAATACCTTCCAATTCATATATTTCGTTTGTAATCAAACCTTTCTGGATCAGGACTTTTTTTTTTCAAATTGTGAATCACATCAATGAGTTCGCTTTCATCATTGGGAAATAAAAGCATTGTAAATGCATCCAAGATAAAAGAGATGAAAGAGAAAGCGAAATTTCGGTAAAAGTGCACTTATCATGCGATGGGGTTTTTTTCGAAAATTTTTTTTGTTACTTACGTATTTTCGTCTGAAAAACACGAATTTCATAATGAAAATGTGAACAAACCACTATTCTGTCTTCTGGATCACATTTAGAACAATTTGCCCTTCTTTTTCCATCATTGGACAATTTATATATATCACACAATGTTGGACACATTTTTTTTATCATATGAGTCAACTAGAAATATGATTTTCTTGTGATTTATCCATGTTTAGTGAAAAGAAGGAAGAATATCATTTGAAATAATGGTGTGTGTAATGTCATTCCAAAGCAATCTATTGACATTTGACATCTCGTATTTGAATTGCATATGGATTAAATAGGAAAAACTCGTCATAAATAGTTATTTAACCAACTAGTGTATTAATGAGGGCGATTAATGATCGAGATATTTTAACGTGCGAGCGAAGCGAGTGCGTTAATGTTCGAGATCATTAATCTCCTTTTAATATACAAGTTGGTTACAAAATTTTTCCGTCGACTATATTTCTCATTTCTCCTGCAATGAAGAAAACTTGGTTCGCGAATTCATCATCCATCCGGAAACTGCTAAGAATCACCCAGTAGCCTTGTCACTGACATTAATGTCATTTGACATTTGTCGAAATGATCAACATAGGAAATAAATTCCTTGTGTTAGAAAACAGGGATTAAAATCGTGTCAGAAACTTGGAAAGGCGAACCCGTTAACGGAAAATCGTCGATGAAATCCATATTTTTGATTTAAATGCAGATTCCGCTAGGTATAGCATAAACAATGAATGCACGCGGTGTATGTTTGGTTGCCTATAAAACAATCGTGCATTAATAGACAAATCGTCCATTAATAGGGGTCATTAATGAACGATTTCATATACATTGAACTTAGTCGTTAATACGAGGTCGGCGGAAAAATCATATTTCCTGTTGAATTTTCTATCTTAAAATGTGTCAGTGAAGTACATCATGAGTATATAAAGTGTCCAATGACAAAATAATAAGAGCAAGTACCTGTAAATGCATCCAACACAAGGGGGAAAAGAAGGCAAAATTTCGAACTTTTTCTTGAAATATCTCGATAAATAGTGGTTTGTTCACATTTTCATTATGAAATTCGTGTTTTTCAGACGAAAATACGTAAGTACCAAAAAAAATTTTCGAAAAAAAACCCATCGCATGATAGGTGCACTTTTACTTGATGAGATGCAAAATTACCGGAAAAAATACTCCCGATCTCCCTATTCCTATCGCTCACCTTCTCTTCACCCTCATCTTAGTAGGCGTTATCTCCGCCACGGTCCTCGCTCGCTTCACTGCCGCACAACAAACCCTCAACTTCTTCTCTCCCTCCGCATCTTTTTCCTCCCCCACCTCCCCCATCTCCTTCAAGGCCCTCTCCAACCGCCCTTTCGATTTTTCGTCCCGCGCCCCCCTGGCGCAGAACTTCCTACTAGAAGGGGCGCCGGGACGCCTGACTTGGACGTTGCGGACGCCGTCGCCGTCGCCGTCTGGGATGACGTGGCGGCGGTGGACGAGCGTCGGTCGAGGCGTCGAGAATTCTTCGACGCTGCTGTCGTGCATTTCTCGAGGTTCGTTTTTAATTTTTATTTTTCGTTCGTGCAGTGACAGTGGCAGTTGGTTGTTTGACAATGTCAACGTTGGCCAAGCCAACGCATACTGCGTGGATAGATGTATAGGAAGTCAAATGATGCTATCATGCTATCACTTCCTATTGAAAGGAGTTTCGAAATCTCTCGATATCGCCTACTTTGTGAAAATAGCGAGGCGTCGGGGAATCTTGCTAAATTTCCGAAGTTTCAAACCAAATTTACAGGCATCATGACACATTCATTAGAGTTCCCATTTTCATTATCAAAATTTTTGTTTAATTGGAAACAGTGAATTCATGAACGAAGTCCTAATTCAAAGAGTTTCTGAGGTAATAGTTTATTTACTAACTTTTGGTACATAAAATCCACTTACTCAACTACCTAATAAAATATCAATATACCTGCTTCATAAACTACTGATGTTCTCATTAATATCATTCATGAGAATGTATATTTCTATTTGGAATTTGAACAAAATCATGAATATGCCGTGAACGTGACACTCGTGACAGATATAGCGAATCACGATCAACGAATCAAGATCACGATCAAGATTTTTCCGCACTGATTATTTGTTGCGCCCTGTGTCTTCTGCGTCCAGTCTCTAGATGCTTCTATTTAGCTATTATTGAATTCGTGCATGATCAACGGGACTCTTCGGGTCCCGAAAGAAGAAAAGTATAGTTCGACTTCACAATAAGCTTTTTGAAAGTTTCCACCAAATTGTCCATCGTTCTCGCCATCTATCATCGGATATGAGAACCCCACGTTCCGAAATCGCATTCAATTTTTCATATCGAGAGTTTCGGACCGACGAAACAATTGAAGAGTTTTTCTTTATGTTCTGGTTCCCACGAAAAGGGATATCCTGTAAACTTAGAGAACATCGTGAGTACCAATGGAAATAAGGTAGGAATTGGTGTTCTTCTTGTATTTCTGGAGGTTATATGCCTTGGGAAACACCTCCCTTGGCAATGTGTTTCAGAGCCTCGCTGTTCGTTGGATGAACGAGTCTCTGGAAAGAGGTGTTCTGCAGGTCTCCAAAGTGTCCACGAAGGGGTGCGAAGCCTCAACTTGACGGTTCAATCTCGCGGGGAATGCCAAGGGAGGAACAATTGTTGATATTTCAGAAGAGCATCGTCTATGAAAATATCTATAAAATAGAGCGAGATCGCCAACTTTTCTACGGTGTTCCAGAGAAGTGAGTGAGTTTGTGAGCGAGGCATCACCCACTAGACGAATTGCCCTTTTTTGGACAGAATCCAACAGTTTTAGGGTATGTTTGGGTGCAGCACTCCAAATATGGGAACAGTATTCCAGGACAGGTCGGATCTGTCCTTATAGATCATAAGCAGCTGACTGGAAGTGAAATAGCTCCTGGCCCGAAACAGAAAACCAAGTTTCTGGGATGCACTTTCAGCAATTGATCTCACGTGATTTTCCCAAGTGGGCAGACCATAGGAATATTATAGACATCTCACTGCGTGGGGTGTGTGTATACGGGGTGTTGGGTTCCTCTGTCATTTTCTGCTTTAAATACACATCTCCAAGAAATTAACGCACTATACCAAAAAATAGCCAAGGGTCAAAGGTGTAGATCTTCAACATCATTGGAACACCGTAGGTCGGCGACCTGTCACTTTTCAATATATACTGCCACAAAAAATGTTCTTCAGGAATCTCTGCTATCATTCCACCACTAGCAATACCAGTCAGACGAACTCGACAAGCTCAGTCAGCACATCCTTTCATTGTCAACCTCGAAATATGCCGAACAGCACTTTATATCAAAACTCCTTTCTCTATAGAACGGCAAAGCTCTAGAATTCATTGCCTGAGGAAGTATTTCTAGGAACTTATAATCCCCAAGAGTAAGAAAAAATCCAATACCTACCTCTCCCTATCCTCCCTAGGTACGTACGATGTTCTTCGAAGATTATAGGGATTCCCTTTCGTGCGCTCCAAGCGTTAAAAAATACGTCCTCTACTGGCAAAAATTCAGTATTCGGTTTTGTTAATTTCAATCTAGAGTTATCCAACAAAATGTCCTGGTGCATCTCGAAATATTTGCAAAAAACAGCAAAATGTTTGCCAAGGGAGGTGTTCCCCGAGGCATATAACCTCCAGAAATTTAAGAAGAACACCAATTCCTACCTTATTTCCCTTGGTTCTCACGATGTTCTCTGATCATTACAGGATATCCCTTTAAGTAGGAACCAGAACATTAAAAAAAAATTTTCGCTCATAATTTCGAAAAGTTTGTGTGGTTGAGAAAAAACAAATCACACATTTTTCAAAGAAGACTAAGTTTGCCAAAATTCAATTCATACAATAATTCAACCCAATCGCAGCACTGCAGGTCTGATAGTGCTCAAGCATACAGTACTCCAAAAATTAGTAAATTTTTACCAAAAAGTGATATTTCATGTTTTGGGTCGAATTTCGAACTGAATAGTTGGAGAAAATACTGATCCTACGAAGAAAATTGTCAGATGTAGAGTTTTAGCAGACCTTTTGAGCTTCAATTGAAACTTCTTAAGAATTTTTCATCAAGGTTGGTTGAATTAATGATTATTATCGTATCCAAAATCAAGAACTGAATAAGAAGTGAAATTGAAAAGTTAAAACGAAAAAACGAATTCTAATTAATTATTAGTCTAGTAAGAATATATACCCAAAATACCACGCTAATGATCTGCATGTAAGTATATAGGCTATCTGATATTTAAAAAAAACAATCCGATTCTGAAACGGTACGTTTAAAACATTATAGGAAAATAATTATGGATTTCTACACTTGATTAGGAAAATTAATATTATAGAGGCCGAATTTGGTTAACGAGTCACTATCTATACAGTGTGTTTCATTACGATAAGGAAAAACCACTGCATCTTTCCTATTTATGGAGGTTCTATTCTGACATTCGCTGGAGTAATTTTTTTTCTGTTAAAATTTTCAGTTCTAGAAATCCCTGTGCCTTCCGTAATCATTGAGGAGTAGTAGAACGTAAGTACTCAAAAATAAAATTTGATCAGTACCCTGGATTCCTCTCTCAACCAGCTTTCCAATGAGTGGCTACAACCCCCAAAGAGTTACATTTGGAAACAAACATGATTTCAGCTACCCCTGAAGGAATGTATTCATCTCCACCCTCTATACCCCTAAACTCACAAATGCTATGCACAAAAGGTTATAGTTATTCCATATATCTCGATATTATCATTCCTAAAATACGATGATGTAACTGTTTCAAATGACAAAAACAATGCAATTTAAATATTTGGCGAAGGCTCTATCTATTAATCAAAATGACAATCAAAAATTTACCAAAGGGTATTCACATTTGGAAAACAAACAGTAGCTATTATATTTTGAAAGATTCCTCATACGGTGAAGCACCTACCTATACAAACGAATAATATTTTTGATATACGACCTACACCACAACAATAATTATAAATATTTATAGCGTGCGTATACCTGTTGAATTTGTTTATTTGCAGTTTTATATTGTAGAGGTGTATCCACCTGAACTGAAATGATGGAATGACGTCATCGCGATAATGTGAAACCCCTGCGTAGCCCAAGAGAAAGTACCGATTATCCCAGTGCAGAAATTCGAGACAACGCAGTTGCCACATATATTATTTGATAAGGAATCTTTCTAAGTTCTCAAGATCGAAGATTAATCATCATATCAAGTGTTTCAGCATTCGAATTGCACTTTTCCGCAATAGTATAGAAAAGTCAAATTTTGATTATCCTGAGAAAATCTTTGTACCTTATCAACGAGCAATAAGGAACTCAAAAATGGCAGAGGTTGCAAACTACAATTTTTGCGGAGACTATTGGGGACAATTTCAGGGGAGGTAAATAATTGGAATTTTGATGTGTAGGTTGTTGACTACAATCTACAATTTCGGCGGAGATTTTTAACTACAATTTCGGTGTAGGTACATATCTGTAGGTAATTTTTTCGAATGTTCTTGATTACATTTTGGCGGAGGGCCTCAGCTGTAATTTTGGTGGAGTTTGGCAGAGGGTCCTATCGACAATTTTGACTTAGGTGCATTCACCAATTATTCAACAATTGGTAATAAGCATCAAACAACAATTTGAGAGCTAACGGGATTTTTTTGGGTGGATAAAAATTACTGAAATAGAAAAACGACTTAACAGAGAATATACAGGGTGTCTGAAATTGGAATAATAGATAGAATGCAATGCAGAATAAAAGACCATTTTTATTTGAAGAGAAATATTTTGGAAAATATTATATTACAAACGTGGAATTTGTACATTGTCAGAGGTTAAAACTGAACCAAGCATTTGCTTTCGGTGAAGTCAAAAACAACGATAAGATTCATGGATTTGCAATGGTGCCAGACGTTCGATAATAGCTGTGGTATGATGGAAGCATACATTTTCAAAAAATTTTATTATATCTCATTACAGGATATCCCTTTTCGTGGGAACCAGATTATAAAAAAATACAACATCTCATATTATTCATCGTTTCAAAAGTCTCAAAACTTTTAAATGTATGGTGGGGTTCATGAAAAATTGAAACATTTTTGTAATGACAAGGTACTCTTGTTCGATGTCACTAAACCTAATCGTTCTCCAAAAAAATCGATTTGACTCATGAAATAACAAGAAACAATTGCATCGACCACAATTTCAAAAGACATGCAGTAATAACTACCTCAAAACGTGTGTTTCCTCGACAATCACGGCAAATCCACACACAGCACTCTCTCAAGGTTGCCACTATTATACTAAGTACGTCATGAATTTGTATTTTCATTATATATGGACTAATAATTCATAAATTTATCAATTTATCAAACGACTAGATTCAGTAGCAACCGAGGTGGCAACCTTGAGGTAGTTTATTTAACCAATCAACAAACTATGGTTGATTTTCAATATAATTACTGGTGATATCTTGAATACTGTCTGTAGGTTAATTAATGAAAACGTCCTGTAACTCATTTGATTGCTAACGTCACCAATTGTCACTGAGAACTGGAAAGTATCAGGACAAATATGAATT